CTAGGCCAGATGAGTAAGCACTGTTATGTTCTGCAGACAAGGTATGCAGCTGGACAGCAGAAACCACCACCCCCACTCCCGCATTAGCTCTGCTTAGTGGGTTGCCTCAGGGCAAAGAATGCACACTTTCTCCATCAAAGTAGATATACACCTGGAAATTGATAATACAAAGGCTGATTAATTTATACTTCTACCAACAGCATTTGAAACTTGACTGTTGACCCACACCCTCATCAGCTTTTGACATGATCAATTTTGTAAATTTTTCCAGCATAATGAATTAAAAATACAACTTAAACCCATTTTTTCTGTTTTTAATTAGCTGGTTATATTTTGTCAGTTCACATTCTCTTGATATTCTTTGCCCTGTATGGGCTTTCAAAATGATATTTTTTAATCCATGAAGTTTTTCTCTGCAAAGGAAACAAGGTTTCTGGGTAACCGTTTCCCACCAGAATATCCAGCCACCTTGGCTTGGTCCTCAATTCTCTTCCAAACAAAATGTAGTTGCTTCTTGTGAGGAGAATGTCCATGTGTTGTGTGACAGCTCAGCGTTTTCATAGTTTTGTGGCTGAACCTGAAGATATGTTAGTTCTGTCTGTTTTCAATTAAAACCTCCTGAATGGGCAGACCTGGTTTGCTAATTTGCTTTGTTCAGCAAAACATACACTGTTCAATAAGTCTTCCACTGACAAGGACATATTTTGAACTTTCCCAAGGAATAAATTTCATACGTTATTCTGACCACAACTAATGTGTAAAACAGGGAGTCTGGCTAAGGGTTATGTTATGCAGAAAAATAAGCACTAAAACCACGAGCTTGCCCTCCACTGATTAAAAAAGCTTTTAGCATAACTTCAGATTCATAGTCTGTAGCAACTTTTATCTTCCACTTAAGGAATTTTAAGTATCAGCTGTGGTTTCAGATGAGCTGAGGATTTCACTTTAAAAAACTTGTTTTTCAGGTTAAGCATAATTATTTTCAAAGAAATATGTGATTACTTATGAAAATTTAGCAATTTCTTATCAAATATAAAAAATGGCTTATTACCTTACCCTTAAGAGATAACCTAAATAACACATTTTGTCTCCTTCTAATCTATTTTCATAAGCATTTTTACACATGTATGATAGTTCTTTTTCCAAAAATTAACATCATCACATCCTATAGCTTGCACTTATCACTGGCATTTTCCTATCATTAAATTGCTCTACTTAAAAATTTTTAAGACTAAATGGTGTTCCATCATAAAGGCATGTCATAACTTATTAGCAGTGTTTCTGTGTGTCTGGACAATGCCTTAACTCATGCTACCTGCTGTTTCCCTTTCTTAAGCACATAGGAAGCTCACCTTTCCCAGCCTGCCTAGCAGCTCAGTCAAGGTCACGTGACTGGGTTTTAGCCAATGGAATATAAGTAATGGTGACAGATCATCAGGTCATGACCCCAGAGAGAA